CTTAGACAGCAGGATGTCCCCAAGTGTCCCTCAGCCTTGTCCCCACGGCCACTTCTCACCTTTCCGTGCTCTTGTCTTATTGGTGGGAGGAGGGATTTCTGAGTCCCCTGCCCCCACAAGGGGCAGCTTTTTCTGCTCGGGTACCAGCTTCCCTCTCTAATAGAGGGCTCCTTTCAAAGGTCACCAGGTCTCTCTCTGGCCCTGAAGGCAGAATAGCTGGGGTGTCCACTCTTCCCCCTGACCTTTGAATGGTAGGAGGAAAAGGTCATTTGTCTGGCAAACAGGCTAAAATTTCGACATATCCCACCTCACCTCTCTCCCCTGTGCTCCTCAACTGCTTCCCTAAGTGGTGAGCTGTCTTTCCAGGCACTACCTCGTGTCTTCTATCCATGATCTCAGCTCATGGGACATTTAACGATTGTATGCTGTACACAAATGAGGACAGTTAGTCTCTGAGAGGTTAAGAATGGAGAGGTTAAGGAGGGTGCTGTTGGCCTCATTGCTGCTGTTATGTGCCATCAAGTTGCCAACGACTCATAGCGACCCTTTGTACAATAGTTCTGAACTCTGCTCTATCCTGAGCCAATCTCACTGTCTCTAACACACCTATCCTCTGCGACGCCAGTTACTGTGTCAATCCATCTCATCCAGGGTCTTCTCCTCCTGCACTGTCCCTTCACCCTTCCAAGCACGGCATCCTTCTCCAAGAGCTGGTACCTCCTAGCAACATTCCCAAAGTATATAAGATAGAGCTTCAAAATCCTTGTCTCCAAGAAGCAACTAGGTTTCGCAATCTCCAGAACAGACTGGTTTGTTCTCTTGGTGGTCCATGGCATGTTCAAGACTCTTCTCCAGCACCACAACACAAAGGCATCAATTCTTCTATCATCCTTAGTCATTATCCAGCTCTCTGATGTATAGCAAGTGATTGTGAAGACTGTAGCTTGGATCAGACTGTCGGCCTTGTTGTTGTTGTTATGTGTCATCAAGTCATTTGTGACTTATAGTGACCCTATGTACAATAGCCTTGAAACCTGCTCTATCCTGTGCCAACTTTACAGTCTCTGACCCACTCACCCTCATTCTCCCAGTCACTGAATCAGTCCATCTCATCGATGGTCTTCCTCTCTTTGTTCTTCCACCCTTCCAAGCAAGATTCCCTCTGTTCTTCCATCCTTCCAGGCATGATGTCCCTCTCCAAGGTCAAGACAGGAAAATTCTTTGTCGTATATGTGGGACACTGTCCCTCCCATTCTAGGGTGTTTGGCACTCCATACCCACAAAGGCCGGTACCCCCCGCCCCCAGTCATTGCAATCATCACAATTGCTCTCATGCATTACCAACATGCATTACTTCAACGATCAAGGGACCACCCTTCGTACAGAATCACTAGTGAGGGGCTTTCTAGGTGGTACACTACAGCATAGAGATTTGAACACAGGTCCTTCTTAGCTAGCAGGCCTCCTTTCCCAGCAGCAATCCCAGGTGGGCCCTGTGAGGCTGAGCTGGGGAGGGCCGGAAGTCTGAGCCTTTGGTCCTGGGATGCTTGCCCTCCCACTGCTCCCAGGCCTGCCAGAGTCTGCCTTCTTGCTTCCTCTAGACTCCGAGCCTCTTATCCCCCCTTAACCCTTATCTCTTATTGTAATGCTTCCTTCCCAAAAAGGTTAGGGGCTGCCAGATGTTGGGGTGTGCGGCCCCGGACAGCTGGAAGCAGAGTGTGGGTAGCTTCTGATGCCTTTTGTTCAGGGGGAGGAAAGGGCCTCAGAGCTCGGGCTCCTGTTCAGCGTTGTTGACACCGGGAGGGAACATCACGTCCCAGGTGTGATAAATAACCTGTGGGTGGCGGCCCCATTGGCCCCTGTCACTTCTCCTGAAAACAGATCCCTCACAGCATGAATGGGGATGAGATCCAAAGACCACATCTGCATCCCGCCGACAATGGTGTGCGCGTTCAGATGCCAACCACCCCACCTCTGTGCCCACTGGCGTCACTCTGGGTCCTACGACTGCCTTCTGAACCACACAGCCAGGAGAGGCACATGTACGTGCACACACAGATAGTAGCATATACACACATGACAGCTCACATATCCATGTGCACACACACACACACGCTTGTGAGCGCACACATGCACACACTTGCCCAAGTCTTCCCTAACCAACCTCTCAGCTTTGGGGGAAACTCCAGGGTCTGGAGCTAACAAAGGTCTCCATTACAAGGACTTGGGAAGACTAGAAACCCCTGAAGTTTGCCCCCTCCGGGGCTCTCATCTCTCTCTCCGCCTGACTCTTTTGCCCTTTCCAGCCCCAGCGGCTTTTTTGGTCTCACACCGACCTCAGGTGATGTTTATCTTTCTGGGCTGTTATTTCTGTGAACGGAACAGCTGACACCTTTTCAGAGAAATGTTATGGGTGGGTTTTTTGTTTTTGTTTTTCTTTACCTGGAACACCTGGAAACAATCAAGTACCTAGAACGGGCTGTTCCTTGGATGAAACCTTAACCATCACCACCACCACAGCCTCCACCCCGACACGGCAGATTTCAGATGCTGGCCTTTGTCATCCCACTCCCATACATACTCTGCCAGGCAAGTCCCATACCCAGAGGGGCAGCCAGGACCCTCAGCTTCCTCACCATCCTAAAATGAGAATGCATATTCCCCTCTTTTCTCGTTACTTAAAATCAAGGATCAGCAAGAAGTTTCTCAGTGGGATGGGGTAACCCAGAGGCTGTGAAAATGGACTATGACAGTGGTTCTTTTTTTTTTTTTTATGACAGTGGTTCTAATGACAGTGGTTGTGGTGATGATAGAGGCCATCAAATCAAGCATGGCTCCTAGCGATTCTATGAACAGCAGATCTGTACCCTGTCCTATCCTGAGCCATCTCCACACTTCCTGACACACAGGAGCCCATTGCAGCAGTCACTGTGTCAGTCCACCTGGTTGAGGGTCTTCCTCTCCTTCACTGACCCTCCGCTCTTCCCAAAATCATGTCCATTTCCCAGGAACAGCCCCTCCTAGCAACGTGCCCAAAGTATGTGAGGTGAAGCCTCACCCTCTTTGCCTCCAAAGAGCATTACGGCTGCACCCTCTCCAAGACATAGTGGTTCTCTTGGACAAATATGGGATGTTCAATGCTCTTCTCCAACACCACAGCTCAAAGGCATTAATTTTTCTTCTGTCATCTCCGTTTGTTGTCCAGCTCTCAGAGGCATAGCAAGGGATCAGAAAGACTATAGCCTGGATCAGAAACACCCTCGTTCTCTGATTGACATCATTACTCCTCAATAACTTGATGATGGCGTGGGATCAGGCAATATTTTATGCTGCTATATTTGGGGGGGTCCCTATGAGTGCCTGCTTTATGGCACCTAAAAACAACATCACTCACTCTGTGTGTGTGTGTGTGTGTGTGTGTGTGTGTGTGTGTGTGAAAGAGAGAGAGAGAGAGAACTACCACCTTCCTCACTGTGAGAGTGAGAGAGAGGACTACCATCTCCCTCACAGAGAGAGAGAGAGAACTACCACCTCCCTCACTGTGAGAGAGAGGACTACCACCTCCCTCAGTGTGTGTGTGTGTGTGTGTGTGAGAGAGAGAGAGAGAGAGAGAGAGAGAGAACTACCACCTCCCTCACTATGAGAGAGAGAGGACTACCATCTCCCTCAGTGTGTGTGTGTGTGTGTGTGTGTGTGTGTGTGTGAGAGAGAGAGAGAGAGAGAGAGAACTACCACCTCCCTCACTATGAGAGAGAGAGGACTACCACCTCCCTCACTATGAGAGAGAGAGGACTACCATCTCCCTCACTGAGAGAGAGAGAGAGAGAGAGAACACTACCACCTCCCTCACTGAGAGAAAGAGAGAGGAGAGAGAGATGACTGCTACCTCTCCTTCCCTCCAGGGGCTCAGGGGGAAAAGGGTGAAGGGACAAGAGAAAAGACAGGTTTGCAAGGAGACAAGCCCCCTTAGAGTGGGTCTGGCTAGTGTTTGCCACTTGCGGTTGTTCAGGTTGTGTCCTGAACAACCCGAGAGTGCATCTGACCTAGGGGCAGGAGCACAAAGCTGAACTTAGAAGGCCTCCTAACTGCTAGGATCCAGGGCAGCCTTCCTTCCTTTTATGGGAGGGTAAAGCCAGTGTGCCCTGAAGGGCCCCAAGACCAGCCTCCTCCTGTCCTGGAGCTGTGAGTCCCTCTTGGAGCTCAGCAGTGAAGAATTCTGTGAGGACATGTCTTCCCCTGGGGCTGCCCCCTTTGGCTGCCCCCAGCCAAATCTCCTCCCACACGAGGAAGGCGGCCCACGTGGACCAGATCTTCTTACAAGTGGCTGCCACCCTTGACCTTCCTTGTTCCCTTCCTCCAACATCAAACCCCCATCAACTCCCAAGAGGACCACTTGCACTGCAAATAACATGCATACTCTGTTCTTGGTCGGTGATGACCCTCTCCCGCACCTTGGCTCCTCTCTTCTAGAGTGCTCCTCCCTTGGTGGTCCTCCCTCAGTGGTCTTCCTTCAGTGGTTCTCTTCTTGAAAGCTGTGGACTGGTCCAGGGCGGGAGAGGGCACCCTTGTTTTCATTCAGGGACCCACGTGCCAGGCCCTGGGCTAGGTGTGAGAGTAAATGAGGGACTAAAAGGCTTGCAGGAGCTTGCAGACTTCACCATGGTGAGGGGGGGGGAGGCTCTGGGCCCCAGGGAGTGACCAGCAGCAGGGTAGGGAGCTGGGGGGAGGGAGAGGCTGCCCTGAGTCCCCACTCCAGGATGCCTGCCTCAGGCTTGAGTTGTGGTGCCCAAGCCAGGTGATTTTCAAGCCTTGGTGGCCCAGCTGACAAAAAAGCCTGCCCTCCCCCAGCCCCCGCGGGTGGCTCCCCTGGGTGCTGATTTGCATGGCAGGAAGGGGCCTGGTGGAGAAGTGGGGAGGGAACAGGCTGTAGCAGGGCAGTTCACGTTTCCCCCCAGGAGCTCAGACGTGGTCACTGTCAGGGTCGGGACAGAGCAGTGACCATGGCTGCTGGGCTGGCACTGTCTCTTGTGCCCAGCAACTGGCTGGTGGTGGTGCTGGTGCTGTTTTCAGGTAAGGCCCCCCCTAAGCCCTGCCCCGAGCCCCACCTTCTGCCTTGTGTTTCTTTCTTCCTCTGAAGGTCTGGGGCCTAAGTCAGCCGGACCAGGTGCTGTGCTAAGCTCAGAGGTCTCCTGTATGCAGGATGGCCAAGGGTGGCCCAAGCAAAGCCTATGTCTGGGGATGAGTTAGGCCTGAGGGGTGCAGTGGAAGTGATGAGCAGGGAGAGGTACAGCATACCCCCAGGGTCAGGGGTCTGCTCTGTGGTCTTGGGAGAGACAGTTCCCCAGAAGACAGAGGCCCCTAGGACTGGGAATTCCCTGCCCCTCTGGTCACTTCCTGCTGGTCACAGAAGATGGCATAGAAATCAGACTTCTCAGTGTTCCCCCCCGCCCCCCAAATGTCTCACAGTACTGGATCCAGGGAAGAATGGAGGGTCTGGGGCCTATGCTCTGGGAGGTGGAAGTGGGTCTGGGGATGTGGAGGGCGCACAGGGATGCAGGGGTGCAGCCACCACTCAACAGGAGGCCTGGCCGGGCCCGCCCACTTCCGCCCTCCCTCCTCACAGGTCAGCCAGTGCCTGCAGCCAGAACAGAGGAGCTGTACCCAGATCCCTCAGGTTGGCAACCCTACCCACTCCTTCTGGCTTGTTTGTGTCACTGTCTCGTGGAACTGTCCCATGGCTGCCCCTTGTCCTGGCTTTGCCCATGTGTCCCCACCCAGGACACCCTGCCCCAGCCTCCTTAGTGTCTAACTCCCCCTCGCAAAATGTCACCCTGATTATACACAGCACTTCAGTCCCAAGGATGGAGGGGATAAATCCCAGAGCTGGGAGAGACCACCTGACCTAGGAGTAGTGAGGGAGCTGGACTCACCTCAGAAAGAGCCTGGAGACTCGCTCTGCCCTGTGAAGGGCTTTGAGATCCCAGGGGGCAGTGCCCTTGGCCAGACGTGGGAGAAAGGCTTCTTCGAGGAGGTGGGAGGGGGCAGCCTGGAGCATGTGACAGGGTGAAGAGGACAGTTCATGCGGAGAAAGAGGGCTTAGGGAACAAAGGGGATCAGGCCTGTGTGGAAGAGGAGAGGGGGTGACAGAGCAAGGCAGGCTGGGGACACTGTGGGTCGCCTGCATTGTTGAGGGGGGGGTGCTTGGCCTCCACCTCTTTAGGACTTCAGAAAAGGGCCTGGCAGGAGGAACATCTGGTAGGATACTTGGAGGAAGGTTGGGGAAGTTCAGGGCTACCCCAGGTTGTCTTGGGGGTTGCTCATGCCTTGGAGGTGAGACTGTCGTGGGACCCCTGTGCGCTTGGGGTAAGGCCTAAAGGCTGTCCTGCATTCCCACTCTAGAGCCTTTCCTGAGGACCCCCTCTGTCTTGGGAGGGGTGAGGCCTGGAGCCTGTCTTGGGGTAAAAGCCTGTATCTGACCTTTGTAGGAGACTGGACAGGGTTGGGACGGTTCAATCCTTCTAAAGAAAAGTTCACCAGATGTCAGGAAGGGGCGGGTCAGTGGCCTGCCCTGTGGCCTTTCACATGGCTCCATTTCTCACGTGATTTTGTCCCCTGCCTGTCCCCACACTATGTGGAAAGAGAGGACAGACAAGGAGGCTGACCCCAGGAGGGGCTGAGGTCAGGAGGACCCCAAAGCAGCATTTTGAGCCTGGCCTTGGTGCCCACAGGAAGCCCTTGCTCCCGAATCTGGCAGAGACCACGTTTCGTGGCCCGAAAACGGGGCTTCGTGGTGGAAGTGCAATGCCACACACAAGGCTCAGGCACCGTGAAATGGTTCTGGAAGCGAGAGATGGGCCAGGAGGCCAAGGAGCTTTTCCAGGACACAGACCACATCGTGCTGAGCCAGAACAGCACTGTCTCGGTCCTCACCATCCGGGACATCCAGTTCAAGGACAACGGCATCTACTTCTGCCAGCAGACGTGCAAAGGGCCACCCGAAGTCGTCCACTGGGGCTGCGGCACTGAACTTCGCGTGATGGGTGGGTCATGGGCACTGGCTTCAACCATGGGGGCAGGGGGTTGGAGGCAGGGACCCTCTGCCAGTACCATGGGCTGTTTATCTAGCGTCCATTTGCCATGCCCAGCCCAGCCTACCCTGCCTATCCTTGCTGCTACCAGAGGGAGGAGATGCCCATGGTCCTGCGAGCTCCCAGGAAACAGGTCCCGAGTCACCACCAGATTGTGGCACTGCAGGCCTGAGGTGTGAAAACGCGCTCAAAGCTCCATCTCAGCCTCACCCGCCTTGTGCATTCCCAGGGTTCAGCTCGTTGGACCAGTTGAAGAAGCGGAACACGCTGAAAGACGGGATCATCATGATCCAGACCCTCCTCATCATCCTCTTCATCATCGTGCCCATCTTCCTGCTGCTGGACAAGGTGATAGGATGGGAGGCAGGCCCAGGGTCACCAGGCAGGGGCAGAGACCCAGTGCCCCACCCCTGTCACCATCCACTAGGCCCTGCCCAGCCTCAGAGTTCATCCATTTATCATCCGCTCAGTCACAAATTCACTCATTCAGACACTCATTCTTTCAAAAACTATCTGGTAATACCTGAGAGCCAAGGCAGGCTGGGTTTGTAGAGGCAACACGGGGTGATGGTCTTTCTTCTTGACAAAGGAGTGTATTTCACTCTGACCTCTGACTTCTGACTCCTCACCCCCTGGGCTATCTGCCAGGACCCCTAGGCCTTGCCCAGGAACAGATAGGGTTGGAGAGGTCAAGTCTCTGACCTTCATCTAATTCTGCCCTCACCCCGCCCCGCCCCTAGGATGACAGCAAGACTGGAATGGAAGAAGATCACACCTATGAGGTACGAAGCAGGGCAGCTCAGGTGGCCTATGAAGGCAGTGGTCCCCTTCGGGGGTATGGTCAGGCATGCGACCGACACCTAAATGCCATTTCATGTCTCCAGGGCCTGAACGTTGACCAGACGGCCACCTATGAGGACATAGTGACTCTGCGGACAGGAGAAGTGAAGTGGTCGGTGGGTGAGCACCCGGGCCAGGAGTGAGGGGCTGCCCACTCTTGGACACAGGCTCCTGGGTCCCGTGTTGATGTCTTCGGAGACTCCTGGCTCCCAGCCTGCCCCCTGGCCCCCAGACCCCACATTGGCCTCCCAACTGGCCTGCTGGAGCCTCCTCCCATTTCAACCCCTGGGTTATAGCTGTTGCCCAAGGGCCTTGACTGGGAAGGGCCACAAGGCAGTGATTCAGAGCAGAAGCTCTTGAGACAGACCAGACCAGATTCTGGGGAATGTCATGTGGGTCGCACCTCATGTTTGGAACGGGGAAGGCAGAGACTTGTCTGGAACCTGGAAATGAACTTACAACAGACCAGCTCCTTGAGGAGCCAAGGAAGGGCCTTGACCCTGAACTCTTCCCCAGACCAGCCACCGAGAGAGGTGTCCCTGTCTCCCACCCTCTCCTACCCAGGGTTCCTAGCCTGGAGCCCGTCCTCCCATGGAATAAACAGAGTGTCTTGAGAAAACACCTGCAGGCTTGTGATGTCTTCGGTCTGTGGACAGGGGAAGGGGTTTGAATGCAAACCCCCACAGCATTCAGGGGTATGGAAGGGGTGGCTGCTAAGGGCTCATGGTCCTCTCTGAAGACCCAGCTGGGTCCTGTAACTACATCTCTCTCCTGTTCCCTAAGCTGGGCCTACATCTGGAGACTGATTTGACCAGCCCATGCACTCAGCAGGGACACCGTCACCTATCCATTTAACCCACAAGCATCAATCCAGTCCTGCTCTCTGTGGTCCTGGAGGGCCTTGCCCTCCCCCACCTCTCTTTAGCATGTTTCAATCCTGCTATCTTTTAAAGCCCTTTGCCTACAGGAAGCCCTCTTGAAGTGCCCCAGTCCCTTCCCCAGCCCTATTCAGAAAGTCCTCATCTGAGCTTCTGCTCCTGCAACCCACACTGGCCGTGGTTCTCTACTCAAATTGGAAGCTCCCTGAGGGTAGAGGCCTCCTTAGCTCTAACAAACCCATATCTCATCTGTCCCCCAAACCTGGCAAGACTGAGTTTTAGTTTTTCTTAAAGTGTAATGCAGATTTTATGGGACTACAGCTCAGAGGTTCCTTAATGGAGTGACCTCTCCAAACCTTCCCAGCTTCTCCTCAAGGCTCCCTAGGGCCCAGTACCTCTATTAATGGTCACTTGTTATGTTATTATGTGCTGTCAAGTCAGAACCCACTCGGCTGACCCTCTAGAGACTGTTCAGAGGATGTAAATCTCAAGGAAGAGATTTCCCATCTTTCTCCTCTGGGTCAGCTGGTGGATTCAAACCACCTGCCTTTGAGTTGGCTGCACAACTCCTTACCACTCACTACTATTTTTTTATTATTATTTTTATTATTATGTCCCTTCAAGTCGAGTATGACTCATAGCGATCCTATAAACAATAGATCTGAAACCTGCCCTACCCTGTGCCAACCTCACAGTCTCTGACACACGCGACCCCACTGCCACAGTCACTGAGTCAATCCACCTGATTGAGGGCCTTCCTCTCCTTCGCCGTCCCTCCACCCTTCCAAGCATGATGTCCTTCTCTGAAGAGTGGCCTCTCTTAGCAACATGCCCAAAATATGAGAGAAAAAGCTTCACCATCCTTGCTTCCAAGGAGCAATCTGGCTTCAACCTCTGAAAATTCCTGCCCTAACCTGCCAGCCTCAGGAGTGGCTGGGACACAAAGGCCATGGCACCTCCATGTGCAACCCAGGCTGCCTCAACTCCCCTGTGTCCTCTAGGGGACCCCGAAGCGCCTCTCTGTGCTCGTGCTCTGAATTCCTTAAGTCACCTCAACCAGACTTCCCTGGTGGGGAGTGTTGGGTAAGGTACCCTGTGGGATTGTCAGGGTCGTCCCGCCCAGGTTGAGGGGTGCCCGCTCAGCGTCCCCAGCTGGCTGCCAGGGGGAACTGGCTTGTTTTGGCATCTGCCTCCACTGAGCTGAAGCCTTTCTTTCCTGCTGCTTTGCATAGTGGCGCTAATTCTGTCCTCCCAGTTCAGAGGGGCCAGGGTGGGTGGGGGGAGTCTTCACTTCTCCCCCCAGCAGGGTCTCCCCCTACTTGGGCTTCCCTAGACTGGGGGAGGCCTTGGCCCACCAAAAGTTTAATTTATTAATATCTTTGAACAGTAAGGTTTCACAAACACTTTGAAGAGTTAATGGACAGAGAACAACCGGAGCAGCTAGGCTTGAAGCCCCCTCTGCACCTCATCTAATCCATTGGGCTGTTCTAGGGTCTTACACTGTGTTGTCATGTCTATGTCACAGGCCGCTGGCCCTTCACTGAGTTGAGCCAAGAAACAAAGTTGGGGGAGGATCGTGTGGAGGAAAAATCTAGCAGTTGCCCCCAACTCCTAGTCATTCCCTGAGAAACCTGATGGTTTCAAGGGCAGCCAGGACAAAGACCAGACCAAACAATAAATCATGGTAAGACTCTGGGCCTGATCAGAGAGTCCCAATCTGAGTTAATTAACAGCCCCAAATTCCAAGAGGTAACATCTTCCCCAGTCCTCCCCAAGACCCCTATAAAAGGAGACTACTCCTAATTGTGAAGTACCATTCTGACTTTCTTTGCTCCTAGTCAGCTGGTGTTCCTCTCAGACCATGCAATAAAGGCCTGTTCGTTTCTTGGGACCAGTTTCTTTCTTTCTCTCTGTTCTAACATGGTGGGAATGATGAACGTCTTGGGCCTCAGTTACCTTATCTGAAAATGGGAGTCATAAAACATATATGAGGAATTGAACCAGGTAGTTTTTCCTTTATAGTGTGTTGTATGGTGAAAATGACTTTTTCTTTAGTGCACAGTCCTATGAACTTCAGCACATATATAAATTGAATATATAACCAGTGTTACAACTGAGATACAGAACACAGACCAAGTGGTTTGTTGTCACAAGTATTTCTTGAGCACATCTTAAATACCAGTAAAAGCAGATTGAGCACTTCCATGTTCATTTATGCTATCGTGCCTAAACTCCAGGAAAAAAACCTGGAAGGGAGTCACATAATCCCCATTTTACAAATGAAAGTAGAGACAGAGGAAGGTCACCATGACACACACACAGAGCTTCTAACATCAAACCTAGCCTCCTTTCCACAATACCACTGCTACCTGTCTTGAAGGCAACAAGGCTTTGAAGTAGAGATGGAGGAAGGTGAGAAATCGGGGGCAACTTTGGCCATTATTAAAGGTTTGTGCTTTGAAGAGGTTTGCTCTTCCCATTGCTCATGAATTCCAAAGTTTGGGGACACTGGCCACTCCTGTCACAGTCTGGATGAGAAGTCAGGTCATTGGGCATCCTTCTGGGAGCCCAGCCCTGGGGCCCCTCTTCCCTTCCCCTCCCAGAGTGCAGCCCTGAGGCCCCCTGGGTGGGCACATGCCCCACTGCCCGCTGGGGGGAATCCGGCCAGGTCCCCAGGGGCAGTGGTTTAAATACAGGCTGGTTCCTCCTCCATTCTAGCTTGACTTCCGGCTGCTGGCTGCAGGTGCTGTTGGGGCTGGGGTGTTCTGAACCCAAGGGTTTAGGTATTTTTCCAGAAAAAAAAATATCAGAGGTGAGAGAAAAAAATAAAACATGAAAAGAAGCTGCTTTGGAATCACAGACAGGTAGTGTTCATCCCTTAGTGTGGGTCTGGCCTGGCCGTGTCTTCTGTGCCACCTCAGATCCCGGTGTCTGGATCCCAGCTCTCACACATTCAGCTCTCATTACTCCTCCTCAGTAGCTGGATTCAAGCCTGTCTCTGCAACATGACTGGACGTCCCAGGCCCCACACTGCCGCGGGGGCTAGCACTCTCAGGTTCCGCTATTGACTCAGTTGCAAACAACAACAAACCTTCCTCTTGGGACATCCCAGCTGCATCTCCCCACCTCGAAACCTTTATTTAGAAACTTAAATGACTACAGAGAATAAAAGTTAATGAGCATTAAATCCTCAATCCAATCAGACTGTGGTTTGTCCCATTCAGGCTGCCCTCAATATAACTCAGACTGCCCTCAATGTAACTTTTGAAAATGGCATTTTTCTCAGACCTCTCATTACTTTCTTCTTCATGTTGCTGGAAGGGTCCAGGGGAGGGTGCGGTGGTGGGAGGCACAGACAGCCTGGAGATCCCACTTCGGGCTCAGTCCTCCATGTTCTGAGCTCACACAGAATATATGTTTGTGCTCGTAATCTGCCTCATTCTATTTTTTGTCATGTACAGTGAAGCCTCTGAGAGCTGGAGCTTGATGGAGCTGTCTTGTTTTTCTGAGTAGCCACCTTTGCACACAAGTTCTCCCCCTCTGCCCTTTTCTTTCTCTACTGTTGTTGGTATGTGTTGTCAAGTGGGAAGTGGCCCATAGCTGACCCTCCAGTTGATTTTCAGAAGCTGTAAATTGCACAGGAGGATATTGTTCATACTTGGAGCAGCTAGTGGATTAGAACTGGTTGCCTTTGGCTTGGCAGTGCAGCTCCTTACCACTAAGCCACCAGAGCTCGTTAGCCTTCTCTGCTGGTAGAAGAGCTCTCTGGTGGAGTAATCCATAGGGTGTGGCATTGTTAACCTGTTAACCCCAAAGCCACACCTTTCTGGTGGTTCAAATCCACCAGCTGCTCCTTAGGAGAAAGATGGATCATTTCCTGTGCAATTTTCAGCCTCAGAAACCCATTGGAGGAGCAGTGATGAGTTGATGCTGACTCAAAGGCATTGTGGGAACGATTGCATTTCCCTTCCCCAATGGTTTCTGTCTTACATAGATTCTGTCTTTTGCAAGCTTAACTTAATCCATGGGCATATATATGGCTTTGCATTGCAAGTCTCTAAACTATATTCATTATTTTTTTCCAATTTATTTCCTTTATATTGCTATTATTGATAATACATACCAGTTCAATTTCTACATATACAATGACAGTAACTACATTCTTTGAGTTGTACATTCACCCTCCTTTTGTGAGTTTTTCCACTCCCTTTCACATAAGCTTATTGTTCCGTGAGGCTTACTAGTATCGAATGTTTCTCTTATGA